CATTTGTTTAGCCGTTCAAAAATTCACGACACACGATAATACGACACTTACGACACCTTGTGAATCACTAAATATGCATTAAATTCACACCGAAATGTGTATATCAGAAACAATTATCTTCGGTATAGAAAACGGTAATAGTCCTGGCCAGATACATTATAAAATAATCAGATGACAAAAGGCACTAAAAAATTTTAAAATACTTACATATCGTCGATGTTTTCGCAAAACCGCCCATCGACCAGTTGCAAAACCGCCTAAATCGCCGTTGTGACAAAAATGAGGTTTGGTAACTCCGAACTCCAGGCATCGAGATTTATGCATAAGAATCGCAAAATCGATATTAAAACAACAGATTTGTAAAATAATAGCTAGAGAAAATAGCGCCTTTCAAGGCAATGCCTTCAAAGAAAAACGGTTTTTTCGCTCTCCTGTAAAATTTGAACGCCGAACGGCGGTTTTGCAATTGGACGATGGGCGATTTTGCAAAAACATCGACGATATACATACATATGTATATGTTCACTAAAATTTAATTAATCTAAAATTAAAGTCTTTGGGAAGTGGTCATCGTATAAAATTTAAACATTTTTAAGATAAGATTTTAATTACTTTTAAACAGTAAATGTTATTAAAACTATTTTATACTTATCCTAAATTTATGATATAAATCCCCTCTACCAAAAAACTTAAATTGGGTAACGCCGCTTCGAATTTTAAACTATTGAGCAATTGTCAAAAATCTGCTTTTTAATCAAAAGGTTGTTTACTGAAACTACTTNAAGATTTTAATTACTTTTAAACAGTAAATGTTATTAAAACTATTTTATACTTATCCTAAATTTATGATATAAATCCCCTCTACCAAAAAACTTAAATTGGGTAACGCCGCTTCGAATTTTAAACTATTGAGCAATTGTCAAAAATCTGCTTTTTAATCAAAAGGTTGTTTACTGAAACTACTTTCTTTTTGAAGTGAAACTTCTTTAGCGGCGGTTGGTTGGATGGGAGTAAATTGGCAAATTCAGCGGAAATTGCACGCGGAAATGTTGCAACGGAAATGATGCAATGGAAGTGATGCAACGAAAATGGTGCAACGTAGATGGTTGGGGCTGAAACAAGTACTTCTTGTGTGTATGCAACGGAAATGACGCAATGGAAATGATGCAACGAAAATGGTTGGGGCTGAAAAAAGTGNTTATGATATAAATCCCCTCTACCAAAAAACTTAAATTGGGTAACGCCGCTTCGAATTTTAAACTATTGAGCAATTGTCAAAAATCTGCTTTTTAATCAAAAGGTTGTTTACTGAAACTACTTTCTTTTTGAAGTGAAACTTCTTTAGCGGCGGTTGGTTGGATGGGAGTAAATTGGCAAATTCAGCGGAAATTGCACGCGGAAATGTTGCAACGGAAATGATGCAATGGAAGTGATGCAACGAAAATGGTGCAACGTAGATGGTTGGGGCTGAAACAACTACTTCTTGTGTGTATGCAACGGAAATGACGCAATGGAAATGATGCAACGAAAATGGTTGGGGCTGAAAAAAAGTCNAAGTGCTTCTTGTGTGTATGCTATGTATTAATTTAACAAAAATTTGCTAACAAAAGGTTTAAGAATAACACTTAGAAAAAGACCAATACAAGAATGAAAGTAAAGGTGACTACGTACATAAATGAAAAAAAGGATAAAGGCAAAGGTAAAAATAAAAACAAAAACAAAGATGCGTAAAGATAAAGGCAAAAATGAAGACCAAGGTAAATTTAAACACTTTACTTATATATATATATAAGGGCAAATGTGAAGGGGAATGTGTAGCTGAAAAAAAACATGAACATAAAAGTTAAGACGATTTTGTTATCTATTCTTATCGATTTTGTTATCGATATTTATCAACTTTGTTAGCGATATTTATCAATTTTGTTATCCATTTTGTTATCGATATTTATCCGATTCTGTTATCGATATTTTTCGATTTTATTATCGATTTTTATCGATTCTGTTATCGATATTTATCGATTTTGTTATCGATATTTATCGATTTTGTTATCGATATTTATCGATTTTGTTATGGATATTTATCGTATTTGTTAACGATAATTATCGATTTTGTTATCGATATAAATCGATTTTGTTATCGACATTTATCGATTTCATTATCGATATTTATCGATTTTATTATCGATATTTATCGATTTTGTTATCGATACTTTTATCGATTTTCTAATCGATTTAGCTACCATTGGTATTATCGATGTTGCTATTGAAATTTTTATAGAGTTTGTCATCGATTTTGTTATCGGTATTTTGATGGACGTTATAATCGATTTTGTTATCGATAGAGTATAAAGATAAAAATGGAGATAATGGAAAAACAGAATAACATGAATGTTATTAAAACGAAAAGTGGTAGAGGTAGGGATCTATGTACATTGATAGAAAAAAAGCGAAAAAATAGAACCTTAAGCAAAAGAAGATGTGTGTAAGTTTCACTTCTACAGTGTGGCCCAGGTGTACTTACTTTTTTTTGTATCATGCACCACGCTATTACCCGTATTTACCAATAAAGTTATTTATCCTTACAACTAAATTTGGTATTACATTTGGGGGCTCGTCCGGGAAACATGCGCGGTGTACTCACAAATAAGAAACGATATTCCAAACAAGAGGACTGAATATTGAGTTTTCGGAACGATGGGCGCAAATGATTGGTCTGTTCGGCATCTAGGGGAAAAGGCAAGGGAGTTGGGGCTTGTAGCTGATAGTACGAAGGCCGAATTGATTGCGCGGCTGAAGNTACATTGATAGAAAAAAAGCGAAAAAATAGAACCTTAAGCAAAAGAAGATATGTGTAAGTTTCACTTCTACAGTGTGGCCCAGGTGTACTTACTTTTTTTTGTATCATGCACCACGCTATTACCCGTATTTACCAATAAAGGAATTTATCCTTACAACTAAATTTGGTATTACATTTGGGGGCTCGTCCGGGAAACATGCGCGGTGTACTCACAAATAAGAAGCGATATTCCAAACAAGAGGACTGAATATTGAGTTTTCGGAACGATGGGCGCAAATGATTGGTCTGTTCAGCATCTAGGGGAAAAGGCAAGGGAGTTGGGGCTTGTAGCTGATGGTACGAAGGCCGAATTGATTGCGCGGCTCAAAGAGCATGATCCAAGCGGTAGCTGGACGAATGACGTTAGAGAAGGGGAAG